TATCACTAAATCAAATTTAACACACGTTTGTAATGACGCTAATTCAGTTTACAATAGGGTTCATTCGCTCGGTCAGCAGGTGGCGGTATCCTCATACACTGGGGAGTAAACTGCCATTAGACTAAACAGAAGAAGAAGAAAACATCTGCACATACGCGGTAAGGATCGGGTAGACGCACCGTACGTAGTGCGCGTACTCCGAAGTGTGCTGGATTGGGACACAGCCTCTGTGTCCGACCGATCAGTCTGCCCTCTCACGCAGGCGGCGGTCCTCCGTGCATCCAACATGTTAAACTTTATTCTTTAGTCTGACCAACGGAAGCGTTAAAATCTACACACACATTCAGCCTTCGTAGTCAGAAGCTTTACTCATACACTCGTCTGTATTTAATCATTCTACTTCAGTTTGATCTTTATTTGTAAAATCAGCAGTTCGTACACCCATGCTTGTTTGTGATTGGTCAGATGCTGTCAGCTACACCCTTCCTGTGAACGTGCAGGGAAGCCCTGGGTTAGCGCCATGCTGACCTCTGAACCTGACTGGTGACATTAGGGTACATGAGCTGGGTCTGCCAGCCTCGTTGAGCAGCACAGGGTGGTGAACGTATGTGAAGTGTTTTACTGACCCCCAGTGGCCAAATGCAGGAAGTACACTTTTAGTCAAACAGGACTAAACACCCTAACTGTTTAGACAAAGTGAGATTTTGAAGGCTCAGTGTTTTGTCTCTCAGCTGCTGCCATTCTGGATCCTTGGAGGAAGGTCTTCATCCTCTACTTACACAAAGATCAGGGCCGTCCCGAGTCACCTGACCTAATGGGTTGGCTATCCTCAGATCCTGGCAGGAGGCACTTCTGCATCGCTTCTTGAATCCGAGATGATGTATGTGGTTCTGAAGAGGTGTGCAAAAGGTATCTATAGACTGCCCAGTCCAGGGTTCCTGGTCCGGCGTCAAGTCTGAGCTGGTACAGGTGTGCAGAAGGCATCAGCTGCCAGTGAGTCCAGGAGCTCCTCTTCCTCATGGAGAGTAATTTGGAACCAAAGAGAATCAGATGGGACAGTTTAGTCTGGGAACTAGAACCAGAACCCAGCCCACAGTCTAAAAAGCGGGTTACAGAGGTATGGAGCTTAAAAAGCAGCTTCAAGCTGAAAGATGCAAAATATATGCTTGAATAAAAAAAATAAAAAAAAACTAATAAAATGTTCATCAGATACTTTTATTTTGAATAAACTGAAGCAGCTTCCCTCACAGAGAATATCACGCAGGACCTTAATGTACAGCACAACAGAGGAAATGAAGGTCAAATGTTGCAGAGACCCGTTTCAGACTGGCACACCTGCTGCAGGTGTGTTTGTGCACCTGAGCTAAAAGGCACCCAAGAACGATCCCTGCCCCACAGCAACATGTTCATGTTTCAAAATAAAAGCTTTGAAACTGTCACGTGCCTACATTTCCTACCCCTATGTATTGCCCGGTGTTGTCACATGACCCTAAACCTTTCTCCTGTGGCTCGCCACCCATCACAGCCCACAGGTTACTAACTGTTAACGGGACCTCGAGCATCGTTAGCGTGAAGACCCTCAAGTGGTCCCGGTGTGCATGTCTGGTGGTTCTTGTGACTTGTGAATGGGCAACGAACACTTCAGCATCCACTTGGTCCTTCAGGTAAGCTAAAAGTCACACAGACTACCTGAGATGGTGAGCGAGTCAGGACGAGAAGCACACCGAGGTGTGCACCTTCACTTTCTCACACCAAGAGACTCTCGGTCAGGCTAGAAAAATGCATTGTGGGTAAAAACATGCAGGTACATCACAGTTTTGCAGTCAAACACAAGCAGCAAACCCACACCTAACAGCCCAAAGTTTACCTGGACAGTTGAAGCTGAGCCTCCTGTCAGCTCCACGTGTAGGAAAAGTTATAAAAAATCAAACACAAACATCAGGAAACACAAAGAAACTCAGAATCGGGGCAACTAGAGGCAGCTCCATGAAATTGATCAAAGACCTCAGGGGGGCTGAGAGCGGGACATTTCTATGACTCAACAGCATAAATTGTTTACAAACTGCACATGCTCAGCAGAGGTAATGTAGCAGGTCTGGGGGTGGGGTTGAAAATGATTCCTGAGAAGGCTTATGGGTGAAGGTCAGACGTGCGAGGCCTTTCCCAAAGTCAGACACACACTGGCTCATTTCACCCAGTTCAGTCCAGTTTGGTCTGGTTCAGTTGGGTCGGATGTTGGCGTAGTTCTTGATGACGCCGGAGAACCTGATGATTTGGACCTCTGGGTTTTTGGGTTTGAAGTCCTGCCATAGGTACTCAGGTGACAGCACCTTGCTGGGTTTGTTGATCCACATATACCTGAGTAAAGAAGCAGGAAGTAGAATCATCTAACGATAACAACAAGGACCAGCACATCCAGCACCTGCCCAGCCACCTTTCCTACCTGTTCAGGTGACTCTCCTCCTGCCAAGCTGCCTCGATGCCCCTCTTGGCGTCGTCCTCAAAGTTCTTGCGGCAGGTTTTGGCGAGCAGGTGAACTTCTTCCACCAACCCCCCGAACGCCCCTCCACAGTAGTAGAAGTCCCCCTCCCCGGGAGCCACGTAGGCGTTGGACGCAGGACTCCGCTCGTAGGGGAACCTGCTGCGGTCATCTCTGTAGTAACCTGCAGACACAGGTGGGAGCGATGTCACTAAAAGTTCAGGGCAGAACAAAGCCGCAGAAAGCAGAAGTGAACGCACCTGAAATCTTTTTCAGAATTTGGCCTGAGTTTTTGAGATGTACTCTGAGGAGGTCAAGCTGTTATTTTAGGGTTGATGTCTCTGTACCTCTTCTGTTTTCATATGAGTATGCCATAAACGTAATGCCTGTTTTTGACCTTGTGATTTGAAGCATGTGCCTTAAACTGAAATTCTCGCCCCAACAGGAGGGATGATGTAATCTGTCTGCTTGTTAGCACTCGTGTCCACAGTTTTCAAGATATTATGTTCAAATTCTGTGTGATGGGAGATACCAGTAACAGCTCCATATGGTGAAAGTTTGGTGAAAAGTCAAAATAAAGGTCACGCAGAAAAAACCTTATACTACGCAGACTTTTTGTCTTCACAACAATATAGCAGGCCTGCGATGGTTTAAGTAGCTAGGTTGGCTAAAAGCTGAGTTTGACCTCCAGAAACCAGAACAGCGTAAAACAACGCACGAATGTGTGAAAGTTTGTACAGAAGTCAACGATTTCAGCCAATTCTGCTCCGATCATAAATAAAATAAAATACAGCTTTAAGGTCATAGGTCAAAGGTCAGACATTGGCATGTTTCAGTAAAAACATCCTAAGACACCAAAACAGCCTTAACCTCTGACCCTAAATGCTGGCCTGGACCATAAGCGAGACATTTGGCCGGCGGTCACCATGGAGACCCACAGCCAGACTTTGTTTCTTTGGAGGTTCTCTGCTGATGTTTACAGATGTGGGAATACTCGGATGTGTGTGTGGGGTGTTTTTGATCGAGCTGAAACGTCGACCACGAACTCATTATTGTACGGTTTCGTGGCAGTGCGGGAGAACAGACCTGGATGGATCACGGCCACAAGTCCTCCCAGCGACTCGGCCCCCCAGCGACCGTGGAACTTTGAGTCGACGTCCAGACAGAAGATGTAGTCGGCGCGGTTCTGAAGCTTCTTCTCGATCAGGTTCTGGATGATCTCCATCCTGCGAGCTGAGATCTCCTGCCAGCGGTTTGAGCTGGGCACCGAGCGCACCGTCAGCTGGAGGAGGAAGAGGAGGAAGGAGGCAGAGTCAGAAAACAAAGAATCCGCCAAGAGGCTGCGTTTGGTTACAGGATCCGTTTACCATTCTGCCGGCCGCCATGTTCACTTTGGGCACCTCGTTAGGGCGATCAGTGAACACGTAAAAGTCCACCCTGAAGCCAACGAAGAAGTGCTCCTCAGACGTCTGCAGAAAGTCCTTCAGGAACATGATGTACCTGTGCAGAGGAGAGGTCAAAGGTAAAGCCAGAGACGCTGCTTTTAGGCCTGCAGGGAAACCGGAGCGTTGTGATGTCACACTTACTTTCCGACAGCGAAGACTGTGGCAGCAATGGTGATGTTCTTCCTTTTGTAGATGCTGTCCAAGAGAAACGGGTTGAAGGTTCCCTCCCAGACCACCGGAGCCAACCACGGCGTCACCGTCACCACGTCAGTACGACTGCCATTACAGAGACACGGCATCATCATCTCCATCATCATCATCATATTTATCAAAAGTACAAACATAATGACCAGGGCTCTAGAGTGCGACCAATTTGGTCGCAAATGCGACCAAATTTTTCAGTGGTGCGACTAAAAAAAAATATTGCAACCTTCCCTGTGGTCAACAACAGACACACATTATGCCCCTATCGTGGACTAAACCAATCAGAGATAGTCAGGGGCGGGACCTCTCTGATTGGCCGTGGTCCAGTTGAAAGTGCAGGTGGAAGTGGGAGGTGAGTAGCTTGAATAAAGGATATCAATTCATTAAATCCTGAATCGACTTTTAAATATAACTGTGTTTTGCCAGAAACGCCAGATTCTCAGATTAAAGCTCACAAAACCATTTCAACAACAACCAAACAGCAGATGAGAGCAGGTACACGGACTCCACACAAAGACGTAAACACAGACCGACGCATCAGAATCAGCTTTGTCGTTCTCGGCTCTCTCACCCGACGGCCCGCAGACGGACACGCTGTCGGAGCTCAGCGATCCTGATGTGTCCGGTCCGCGTTGTGTTAACGTCTTTTTGTGCTGATTCTGAGCTGCAGGTTTTGTCTCTCCAACCAAAAGCAAACTGCGCTTCACATTTGATCAATGTCGTCATGAATTTTGCTGTTTTGCTTCCACGACTATTAAAATCACATCCATGCACAGCTAGCTCTCTCTCTCTCTCTGTACTTCAAGAACAGTTCCCGTCTCCAATCTCTGTTTTCTGTATTATTCATTGGCTTATTACCCACCAGTCTACCGTTGTTCACAGCGCTGTGGCTGCTGTCTTTTTCTTTTTTTCACTTAAATGACCTCGGACAAGAAAGCCTGTTTTTTCTGTTGTTCAATACTGAAGAAATTTAAACTTTATATGCAGAACATTGTAGAATATTTTTAAGGTTTTCTGCTATAAAAAGCCAGACCAGGAAAATCTCCTTCATGTTTTTCTGTGTTTTATTCTCAGTTACTTTCACACAAAGGCATCTGCTGTGATGTTCACAATTCTGATGAAGTCAGTGCTGATAAATGATCAGAATTATAATATTTCTGACTGTCTGAGGCTAAGTTGAATCGAATCAGGACTTTGAAAACCAGAATCGAATGGATTATAGAAATCAGTGATGATACCCAGCCCTAATGAGCAGCCTAGGCACGACAGAAGTGGATGTAGCTGTAATAGGAAAAGAACTATTGCAACTTTTCTGTTAAGGCCTGATCCTTCTGAAATTCATAGCCAGTGCTCTGACACGGTGTCATCAATCTTTGAATGCTGAAAAAGCACAGTGTATCCAGAAAACACATTATATTATATAAATTATTATAAAATTTGTGTGCGCCTAACTTTTGTGCCGGTACGCCCAACTTTTTAAAGTTAGGCGGCCCTGATGACATAAAGAAGCAGAGATACTGACCCGTGCACGATGCTGGGCTGGTTGTACTTCAGACTGAAACACAGAAACAAAGAGGTTAAAGTTCAATACGAGCCAACATCACGAGCCTAACGCAGCCAAGCGCGTTCAGTTTGTCCAGCAGGGAGCGCTGCAAAAGGGACACATTTATGAGGAGTTGATGCACGCTCAATCATGCAGGTAAGGAAATCCCAAAAAATTGATTCTGTTCATCTGAATGTTTTCAGTGGGAGATTCCTCACATGAAAAGACCATCTCTGAATCGAGGAGGGGCCTAAGGGTACATCTGTCACCATCCTACAATGCTGTGATTGCAGCCATTCCCCAACTCTCTGTGAATGGTACTCGTGGACACTGATCAGTGGTCATGACCATTTGCATGTTAATGATCATAAACTGACCTCACAGCCCATTGTAAATCAGTGGTGCTGGTTTCATGTCCTGTTTATAAGGTTGGAAACCTGCAGCCAGCTGAGACTGAAGGAGTCACCTGATGATTATGAAAAGATGAACAGAACCAACCTTTTGGGAATACATTTATGAGTTAGATCCAGATCCTGAAGGAGCAGAATGAAAGGAAAGATCCATGATCTTCAGTCACATGCATGCAGTTCCTGCTCCTGACCAGCAGGTGTCAGCCGTCACACATTTCACAAATATGAGGACCGTTTCAAACTGCCTCTTTCACTACCTTTCCATGACCTGATGAAAACTTCATCAGCTAGAAAAGTTGATAAGGAATAAGAGGCGAGCAGAGCGGTGCTCAGATATCAGAACAAACTAACTTCAGCAAAAAATGGACTACAAAACACACATATGACGTCATGACAGCTGTTCTAACCCTGCTAATTTATGAGAACATCCAGTAAAAGAGTAACCCTTCATCCAAGAAAGAACGATCAGATCTACTCATGTCGGCAGCAGCTGTTTGCCTTTTGGGGGAAGAAAAACTGTGATGCAACAGAGTGAAGCTGCTGAGTAGAAAGGACAGTACTTACTGCTCAGGAGACTCCAGGTGGAGATCAATACCAGGCTGACTGAACGTGGTGGTTTCAACGGCAGATCTGCAGCACACACACACACACACACACACACACACACACACACACACACACACACACACACACACACACAGTGTCTGTTTGTTACCCTTAAAAACACCTTTAGACCGGACTGACCAAGTTCCACAGATCAGCAAAGGTGCTTTATATGGTAAGGTTAAGACCCTACGATAACACAGGGAAAAGCTAACAATCAGACAGTCTTCTATTTGCAAGCACTTTGGTGACAGCGGGAAGGAAAAACTCCCTTTTAACAGGAAGAAACCTCCG